TCTTCCTTCAGGCCACCGCGCCATCGATATCATGTGCTTCGACCGCCCCTGGCAACTACCTGGTAAGCTGGTGCTCGATGGCAGTGACCCATTTCGTCTCAATTCGAACGCACATGTCGACAAAGACTTTGGACAGGTGGGTGCAAATGGCTCGCCGTTGTTTCCGGGATCTTCGACATCTGCGTCTACAGAGGCTTCGTCCGTAATAGCTTCCAAGAAGCTAAGCTCAGGAGCTGGAAGACGAACGTAGACTTCCTCGACATCACAAGTACGTTCTCCACTTCCACTTCTGGGCCCGTGGTACCGCAAACAGTGTCTATATCAAGTTCAGATAGACGCACGGAGACTCCATCGACATCAAGTACGTTCTCCACTTCCACTTCCAGTGACTCCATAGAGTACATGTCTGACTTCTTCGTGACCAAGGAGGACTATGCCTTCAGCACCTTGGACTTGCTACTTCAGCTACTGCCTCCAGATGTTGGACAGGACGGCAGAGGAAGGGTCATGTCAAGAAAGCATTCCAATGCCAGGAGGGCGATAGGAGGGGCTTTCGTTCATGGTGGTGTTGCAGGCGTTACGCAGTTCTCCTTTCAGTGCCCCAACTTTTGCAAGTATGTCAACCTTTGGGCCAAAGCCAATATGCCTGAAGACTTTGAGTCCTGTCGCTCTGGCTGGACTTCGTTCCAAGTTTCACTCAACATGTCCGCCAAGGCTCATAAGGGCAGCCACAACCAAGGCAAGAATGTTATTACAGCCGTAGGCAACTTCTCCGGAGGGGAACTGTGGCTGGCCGAAGGACTTCCGGACCTTGGGCGCCCATGTGTCAAAAAGGTGGGGCGCCAGTTGATCAAGGGCGTTGCAGTGGATGTCCAGAACCAAGTCTTTGAGTTTTCCCCAAAGGTTACACATGCAACCTTACCTTGGAAGGGATCACGGAAGACGGTGACCTTTTACACTATAAGGGATTCTTTTCGTTTGTCCTCGCAGAATTGGCAGTTGCTGGAAGATGCTCACTTTCCTGTGCAGAATATGTCGAAACCCACGTTCTTTCAGCTGCGTGATGATGACTTGGAAGGAGAGAGCCCTGCAACTTCTCCTGATGGCCCACGACAACCAGTGCATTGGCCCATAGCTAATATGCTCAAGCATCTAAGCAGCTGGATATTGAGATCCCGATCCCGCAGCTCCCCACTCGCAAGGCACCATGTCCTCGCTGCAGAGTCGCATCGAGCAGATGGTCGGGGAGGAGTGCCCGGATCCGGAGCCACGTCGCCGGCGTCCAAACAATCATTTTGATGCTGTCCACGGCTAGTCAGCAGATGGTTCTGGACCAGTTGGTGAAAAGGGACAACATCCCAGAGGATCCACTAAGCTCGTCGACCTCCACCTTCAAGGGGTCGAAGAAGCCGAAGGACGCCCCAATCAACCAAGGATTGGGCAAGCTCTTGGGGAGACCCAAAGCGCACGCCAAGTTCAACAAGGAGCCATCGGAGTGCAACCATCGGTCAGATGCACTGCGATGCCGGGCCAACAGCAAGGCGACGTGGTGGACGTGCGCGGATTGCGGGTCGAGATGGCAACGACCTCGCGAGGATCCCTCGACAACGGCGTCTTCCAACTTTCAGGTGGACGAGCAAGCCAAGAAGGTGAAGAACGCCCAGGGCCAGGAGTTTCCGAAGTTTCTTCCGGCTCCAAGAGGACGACTCAATCAAGGCTATCGTCAAGTGGAGCTGGACGTTCGAGGCAAACCGAAGACTCTGGTGCAAACCCATCAACAACCGCCTCCTATCACGCCAGAAGCATCCTCGACTCCTCCGGCGACAAGGGCTAATTTGAGGACAGCGGCTCCGGCTCCAGTGGACACCTCGCCTGGTGGAGAACCTTCTTCGCCAAAGGCAACGTCAAGGGTGAGAACGACATCCTCGGGTCTTCGTCCCGTTCAGAGGGCCAAGACTCCCACTCGGAGATCGGTGAGCGTGAACTCGGCCACATCGGTGGAGACTTGGGAGATCAACGCCGACGAAGAGACGGTCGATGCCGAGATGCCTCACGCCAAGGCCGAGGAGTAGACGGACAAGGGTGTGGACGAAGGGTCTTCCTGCATGGCTCGGCCCTTGACAAGGAAGATGGTTCTCCCCTGCGAGGACTTCGTAATGATCTCCTTTGGCGTGGTTGGATGCTTAAGGCGGTGATGGTGTTGTTGACAACGATGGCACAGAGCTCGAGCTCGTCTATGTCCTGGCTTGGTTTGGACAAACCAGTGGATCATTTGGTGTGGAGCTCCACGGCTGGAGTTTGGAGCTCTGGCAGGCTTCGTGATGATGAGCCGCCTCACACTTCCTCCTCGAGTATGACCTCCACAACTGCGACTTCGTCAACGGCTTCCACACCCTTTTCGGTGGACTCCGTGACGGATGTCGAGCTCTTGGGCGACAAGATTCACTGCTACGTCTACAAGGTCAACACTGACGTGAGCAATTGGCATTCGGATCGCGTTGGCGCTTCTTTGCCCCTGACAAAGGAGCATACCCGCCTCGTCTGTGCAAGTCTCTCAACTGAGTTTCCGGATGTGGCTGAGGTGTACTCTCCGCCGAGGGTGACGAAGCGCGCCAAAGCTCATGGGCTTAGACCAGGCTGGGCCTTGGACCTCTCCACTGGTTGGGATTTTTCAAAACGAGCTCATCGTCTACAAGCCTTGCGATTGATCAAAGACACCCGGCCTTTGGTCATCATATTAAGTCCTCCTTGTTGTGTCTTCTCTCCTTTGCGGAACCTCACGAACTACAAGTGCGACTTAGCAACAGTTCGACAAGAGGAACGTGAAGGACGACTTCATCTCGACTTTGCGGTGTCCTTGGCCCTCCTTCAGATGCGCAGCGGGCGAGGCTTTGTTTTTGAGCACCCCAAAGGTGCGTCAAGTTGGCGAACAACCTCCTTGCAGAAGCTGTCTCAAGACAAGTCGGTTTTCAGCATGCAACTGGACATGTGTGCTTTCGGTCTGCGCGGGGACACGGGCCTTCGTCGGAAGCCCACTCTGATCCTGACCAATATCGAGACTTTGGTGCAGACCCTTAGCAAGCGATGTAGTCAACAGCATGCGCATCAACCCATTGAAGGAGGAGCCGTTTCTCGAGCTTCAGCCCAGTGTACCGACGCCTTCGTGGATGCCATCCTGAAAGGCATCTGCAAACACATACATTTTGAAGCCCTTAATGTCCCTGAGTTGGATGATTCGTGGTCTAGACCTCAAGGAGATCTATGCTGTCGGCAGTTCCGACCCCGACCCCACCCTCCTCTTCCAAAAGATTGCTCCTTCGACCTCTCCAAAATTACCTTCACGGGCAAGCGGGTGATGACCAAGAACTTTGTCAATGGCATCACCAAGGTGGTGGAGGATGACTTCCGCCAGCCTACTGCCCCCGCGAGTGCAACTTCCTTGGACGCGGTGCCGTGGACCGGCGCCACTTGGTTCGAGACCGCGAAAACGGTCATGCTTCCTCAACATTTCTGCGACCTGGCTACTTGGCTAACCAGGTCCCTGGCCCATGTCCTCTACGACTTCCAGCGCGAGCAGGCCACCTTCACTGTGCAGAGTACCTGCTCGTCTTTCCCTCGCGCAAAATTTTGGGGGGAGAGGTTCGACGTCGGCGGCCTGCTCCTGCCTCCTCTTCAGCGACTTCGACAACTTTGGAAGCGCTGCCGGAAGAGGAAGAGCGCCCAGACTACGACGACCCCGAGTACAGCCCCGACGATATGGACGTCGATGTCGAGGAAGGCCGAGAAGATGAGGCTAAAGTTGGACAAGAGCTTCGCGAACTTCCTGTGGAAAAGCCAGAGGAGCCCCCGCTGGCGCCAGAGCTGTGTCGAGAGCTTTACAGAGTTCATCGCAACCTGGACATCCGGACAACCAGTCCTTCTGCCGAGCCCTCAAGCATGCTGGCGTCAAGTCTGAGTATATCAAGTGGGTGAAGAAGTTCTTCAGGTGCCCTATCTGCGAGGATCGCAGGAAGCCTCAATCCCATCGACCGGCCCATTTGTCTAGGGTCATGTCCTTCAACGACGTAGTGGGAGTGGACTTGGTGTACTATGAGAAGAAGATTTTCTTGAACATGGTTTGCTGGGGTACCAACTAGCAGGTCGTGACTCAGATTCCTGGTCGCACAGCAGACTCCGCTCTACGCGCCCTTATGGGAGATTGGTACAAACACTATGGCTCTCCGAGACTTCTGGTGTGTGACCAAGGGCGGGAGTTCGTTGGCCAGGGGTTCTGCGCCGCAATGAGTCAGGTACCATCCTTCACCTGACCGATGCCAGATCCCCCTGGCAGAACTCACGGACTGAACGAATGGGGGGAGCATGGAAGCAGCGCTTGGCAGATCGGAGACTACAGTGGCCTCAGAGATCGAATTCGACCTGGCTGTGCACGAGGCTTGCCGCATGCGCAACATGTACTACGACAGGTCGGGTTTCACACCGGCTCAGCGAGTCTTCGGCTTCAACCCCCGAGTCCCCGATGTTCTCCTCAACGACGACTACATCGAGAAGGAATTCCTGGCAAATCCTACATCGGATTACGTCATGGCGGCCTCCAAGATACGATCAGCAGCCATGAAAGCATGGCAGAGCATTCAAGACTTTGAAGCAGTGAAGCAGTGAGCAGGGCGGCTCGCTCCAACTCCCGAACCACGGATCAGAAACCCCTCCAGATTGGCGACACTGTCTACCTCTGGAGAACAACCAGTGACTTCAAGGGATGGATAGGCCCTCGAATCTTGGTTGCGGAAAGCAACAACCAAAGGTCCTTGTGGGTCAGTGTCCGAGGCTACTTGGTCAAGGCGTCCCGAGAACAAGTTCGCCGAGCCACTTCTGAGGAGAGTTTGGGTGCTGATCTGGTCAAGGTCCTGTCTGCTGAGCTGTTGGAGAACCTTGAGAGCGGCCGCTTGAAGAACTTCAAGGACATCGAGCAGGAGGGTGGCCCCATCCAGAACTTGGACGACATGGAGGTCGAGCCGGCTGCGCACGCTTCCCCAAACGTTATGGAAGCTCCTCTTGAGCCCATACAAGAAGAAGAGGGTCTGGAGCCTTCAGTCGAAGACAGAGGGCAGGACACGGCCCCGGAAGCGGAAGCTCCTCGACCTCTTCCAGATCAAGTTCCACATGTTCTTTCCGGATTGGACGAGCAAAGCACGGCAGCACCCTCTTCAGCAAATGCCACTCCTCGTCCGTCGAGGAGACCAAGCACCATGCAGGTTGATGAGGCGTCTGGCGGTTCCTGGCCTTTTGGACCCTCGAGGCACGTCTCAGAATCGTCGAGGCCTACTCCGTATCCTTTTGTAGAAGCCCCACCTCCTTTACCAAGACCTCCGGCATCCACTTACTTCATGGAAGCCATGGACGACGAGGATCGAGTGAAGTGGTGGAGGAACAAGACCTACAACCGGTGGGAGCCTGTGGTTGCCTCAAAGGAGACTTTCACCTTGAAGGAGTCGATTGCGGTCTTTTCAGGAGGAGAACGGCGGTTCTTCATCACCAAGAAAAAGGTCAGCCCTGGTGAAGTGATCTTCAGAGATCTCCCCGAAAAGTTCAAGAAGGTTTTTCGAAAAAGCCGGAACAAGGAAATCGCAAGCCTCCTCAACTCAGGTGCCATCGCGATCCTCAGCGTCAAGGAGTCTCGAGAGTTCCTGAAGAAGTTCCCTGAGTACGTCCTCACCAGCCGGTACGTGGACCGGTGGAAGCCGACTGGAGACCAGGCGGTTCTTCCTGAATCATGGAACCCTGAGGACTATGTGATGGATGGCAACAACGCCGCGGAGCCCAAGTCACGTTGGTGCGTAGTTGGATGGCGCGATCCCCACATCCACGAGATCGAACGGGCGGCTCCTACTCCTTTGACGAGCAGTCTCTACCTGTTCTGCCAGCTGTCAGCGACCAGAAGGTGGAAAGGGTACGCCAAGGATGCCAAGACGGCTTTCTTGCAGGCTGAACCGACAACCCACCGTCAACGTCTTGCTTGCCGGATGCCTTCGGACGAGTCCTTCCCCGGCTACGAGTCAGAGCAACTGATTCTTCTGCTGACAGAGGTCTATGGCCTGGTGTCTGGACCTGCCTGGCGGCGGAGAAGTCTTTTGGAGCTACTTGTGAAGGAGCTAAAGTATCGAGTCAACCCCTTCGATCGATGCGTGCTCACCTTGGACGCCGACGTCGACAACCCCGACGAGCAGGTGACGGTGTATGGCCAGATCGACCTACTACCGCACCCGTGGCATCATCGTCATTGAGGTCGACGACTTGCTGGAAGCAGGCTCAGCCGAACATCGTGCTAAGATGAAGTGGCTGGAAACAAAGCTTAAGTTCGGCAAGATCGTCGAGCTGATGAATGCCAAGGAAGGCACTGGCTACGCCGGCCGGCGCGTTCGACAAAGCCCGACTTCTCCTACATGTACTTCATGGACGACTACGTGAAGGACAGGCTGAAGTTTGTTCGGTTCGAGCGCAAAGTGCTTAAGAAGGAGTCGTCCGAGACAAAGCTGTGACTCCAGACGAAGAACAGCAGCTTCGAGGAGCTCTGGCCTCCTTGAATTGGGCATCCAGGGAGGGCAGGCCTGATGGATCAGCTGCAGCCAGCATATATGCCGGCTCGTTCCCTGGACCAACTGTCGCTGACGCCATAGCTGTGAACAACGCCATTGGCCAGCTGAAGGAAAGGAATGTGAGTCTCCGCACACATGCTATCGATGAGACCTCGATACGACATCTTCTCATCGCCGACTCCTCCTTCGATCCGACAGGTCGGGTCAAACCGCAGCACGGCTACATCCAGGCGATTACCACTCCGGACCTCAATGCCGGGCGATTTCCTGGATTTCGTGGACTTCGCGGAAGCTGCGGCGCAAGGCTGGCAATACTCTCCTGTGCGAGAGCATATCCATGAGTACGGCCCTCGGCTCGCTCGAAAAGCAGATAGCCTTCTGGAAGAGCATCACTCAAAGCCATTTCATTCAATCCCCGGTCCATAGCTATCTCCGAAGAGGTAGCTCTTGGTCTTCGTGGCCCTGGGACTGTCATTGCAAGTGAAGCTGAAGGCTACGCTGATCCCCTGACCGTGGCGATCACCGACGCCAAATCTCTTTTCGATGGGGCGAACACCGAGCAGGCGCAGGGCGATGGCTCTCGAAGTGCTCTTGAGATCGCAATAATTCAGCAGAGCCTGGCGCAGTGCCAAGGTAGGTTGAGATGGGTTCCGCATAATCATAACCTTGCGGACGCTTTAACCAAGACCGAGACTGCTCACAGGGAGCCGTTGCTAAACATAATGCAAAACAACTCCCTGCAGATTGAACTTGAAGAGTCAATCCTCACGAGGGAGAAGCAGTCTGATCACCGCAGGAAGGTCAAAAACTGACAGCCTGCAGATCAACTATAATTTTGGAGGGACTGATGAAATCAGTTCACAATCTTGGAAGCTTGTGTGTTGATCCGCAGGCCTTGAGCTCAGTGTCTGCGCAGGTTGTGAAAAGTTCGCTGTCTTAGCTGGTTTGTTGTCAGCTGCAAAACTCAACCCCCAAACCTGTATGTTCTACACAGGTGCGTTCCTCAAACGTGACAACATCTTGTTTGACCGTCGTTGTGACCAATGCAGCTTGGCCTGCCCTGCCGGCTCGAAAGCAGCACTCTTGCAACCCACCGCTGTTCCACTTTCATCGCTATTTACCGGAATGAAGGCATTCGTCTTCGCTTTTTTGGTCGCCTGGCATCTTGGGCCACGGCGACCCAGTCGGCTGATGCTGCGGCAGACCCCGAAGCTTGCCAATCTGGGGGCCTCATCCAGAAGCGCCTGGACTCACAAAAGGCGGTGCTGACTCACGAGGCCAATCTCGGCCTGAACAGCTCCGCGAAGAAACAGAAAGTCTCGAAGAAGAAGCGCCGAGCGCAGAGGCTTCAGGTGCTTCTGGGTGTAATTCTCTTGCCGGCAGCTGCGCCATGTCTTCCCCACAATTGCGTTATGCGCCATGTGCAGGCAGAGCATGCAGACCTCATGGCCTTCCTCGCGAAGTCTCGCGAAGCCACCGGTCGTCCAGAGGGTTCAGACTGCCAACAAGGAGCCCTTGCATGTTTCAGGGAGTTTCCGTGGCGTTTTTTTCGTGTTGAGGAGCTCCTCTGATGAGCAAGGACCAGGAAAGGTTCGACCAACTTTCGCAGAAAGTCAATGCTCTGAACATGGATGCCATCATTGCACGCCTTGTGAAGAAGGGCGAATACAAGGCCGAGATGGCCCAGCGGGCGACAGATGAGTACCGGAAGTTCCTGGTCTTGAAGGGCATGGGAAAGGCGCCAGTAGCCTCCCCGATGGTCATCGAAGCCTGGCAGGCTCACATCATGCCCCTTGCCATGTCAGTAGCCTTACAGACTTAGGCCGTGGAAAGTTCAGCAGTGTGTGATGCGGCATAAAGTCAGGTACACCAAGATGTATGAGGAGGATTGTCAGCAAGTTTTCGGCCGCCTCCTGGAACATGATCCTACTGCGCACATGGAACCTGGCCATCTGCAGCAGACTCAGCAGCAGCTTTGCGATTATTTCGGCATGGTGGACCGAGCCGTTTGGAGTGAGCCATCTGCGACCTCGCTTAGTATGGCAAAGGCAGGCTTTGAGAGGGTGCAGCAAGACCCCGGCAATGCCGCTGCAGCCACGATGCAGAGTTGGCTAGACCACATCAACGAGAAAAGGGATCTCTGCCGGAGCCTCCTCGCAGACAACGTCCACATGATGGTAATCTCAAAGCACAACAACACGGTCATGACCTACTCCGGCATTGACACCGTGCTGCCTTTCTTCCGTCACTGTGGCCATGCCATCAAAGCTCGGGAGTTCCTGTCCGTTGATGGCGGAGCCTTAGCCATCGAGGCCGAGAAAAGTCGAGGATGGGGATTTATTTGATGGAGGTTGATGCCCAGGGCAAGATCTTTGACATCAAGATTTGGATGGGCTCGCTGAGAGAGGACAGAGCATGCAGCGCCCATCAGCGGGGGAAAAGGGGGCGAGACATCAGAGCCCACTACTTCGGAGGCACGTCCAAGGGCGGGGGTCCCCCCTCTCAGTTTTCGCCCGGCAGCAGACCAAGACGAAGCATCAGCGTCGTCGTCGCAAGCAAGTGCCCGCGGCGACGGGCCCGAAGAATCGAAGCCGGCGTCCGAGCAAAGCGCGGGCTCTACCGGCTCCCCTCTTACCGAGTCTGTCTCAACCAGCCCTGCTGAGCCGAACCCCCCCCCTTGCAGCGGAGGAGGCGCCCGACCCAAGCGCGGGCTCTGCCGGCTCCCCCTTTACCGAGCCGGGAGCCATCACAGGGTCCAAGTCCAACTTGGCCAACGTCGCTTCAGCTGCAGCAAACCTCTGCGTCTGCTGGGTTGAGGGTGGAGTACTTGACGTCTGGCACACCGCGGATGGACTGCCCGAATCACCTAAAGAGCAATCAACAAGAACAACGCAGAAAAGCTGCACCAAAAAAAGAAGGCAAGGAACTCGACGCCAGACGTCGTCCTTCGCGCAGCAAAGACATCTGCGATATCTCCGTTTGGTTCAACAGGTTAGGGCTTTTGGTTTGGTGCCATTGACAGGCGTCCAGGCCACTGTCGTTCAGGTCCGCAACGTCTGTCCGTAGCGAGCCCATCCATATCTTGGCGTCAAAGATCTTGCCTTCTGCGTTCACCTGGAAAACAAAGACCGCCATTCTATAGTTGTTCTCGATCTCGAGGAGGAAAGCGCCCCCGTCCTGGGCAAGGAATTGACGGGCCATGGATGCGTGGCCTTAGCGGCGGAAGAAGTTCATGACGTCATCAGCCCCATCCAAAGTCACGGGGTCGGGATCCTGCTCAGAAATGAGCATCAGATGTGCATCCACCGCAAAAAGATCAGCGTGGAGCTCCGGGGCATCGTCGTTGATGCTGGCCATCCACTTCTCCATGACCCCCGTTCTCACCGCAGGGTCTTGGGACCTCTTCCTCGCCGCAACTTCGAGCATGGCCTCAATGTTCTTTCACAAGTGTTCTGTGGCAGCGCCTCTGCTCTGCTAGGCCTGCTAGTTAAGGCCCCCGCTGCAATCCATTCCCTGTTTGCACGTTAGGGGCGTACTTTGAAGGACTGCTCACGTTCGTGAGGCCCTCGTCGAAAAGGTCTTCATTGTCCTGCAATCACGGCACAGGCTACAACTCTCCTGGTTTAAAAAGAAGGCTATTCGCCCGCTAAAGCAGCAGACCTTGCAAAGGAGTACCGCAAGTACTTGATCTTGGTCAAAATTGGCCTGAACCCTGTACCTTCGAAGAAAGTTGACGACGCATGGCACGCGCACATCCTTCATACTCACAAGTACCGGACATACATGAAAGCGGTTTTCCGCCACTTCTTCCATCACGAGCCAGCCAACCTACTTCTGGAGCAGAACGGTATGAAGGAGCAAAAGTCAGACATGGACAACAAGTACTCGGACACGAAGATGCAGATCTGCGACTACTTCGGGCGCGTCAATGACGAAGCATGGTCCAAGGATGTTGTCGCAGGCTGCGGCTGTGGCTGCGCCTGTGCTGCTTGGATATGTAAGACAGTGCTTCGCCGCTTCGCTATGAATAAAAGTGTCCTTTTACAATTTGCGACTGCAACAATGAGGCATGTGCCTGCGCCATGTGGCTGCGGATGTGGCTGCTCATGTGGCTGTGCCTGCGCTTGTCGGTGAACCCTGAGCAGCCGCAAACTCTCAACAGCGGAAATCCTCACTTTGCTGTCCCCTTCTTGCCTGACCTTTCGGTCGCCGACATGAGAACCGCCAAGCCACTAAAGTTCACTGAAGCGAGGGCTGGTGATTCTGCGACAAAGCGAGGTCGCAGTTTCGATATGTGAACACTGTTTCGAGTTGTTTTGTCCGAGTTACAGCGTGCACTGTAAAGAGCGCGCTGAGGAAAAAAAAAGAGATGCACTGTTTGGGTTCACCTGCACGCATCACAGGTCCGTGCGGTTGAGCCGTGCCCTGCTGCCTGTTCTTACACTTGCTATGAGGCATTGTTCTCCGTGATGGTGCTGGCTCTTCTGCTGGTGATGGTGAAGATGACAAGGACGAGGAGGAGGACGACGTGGATGATGATGATGATGATGGTGGTGGTGGTGGTGATGATGATGACGAGGACAGGAGTGATGGTCGCGATAGTGAACATGACTGCGAGTACTGCTGCTCTTGTTCTTCTGGTGGTGGGTGTGGTAGTGGTGGTGGTGGTGGTGGTCTTTGTCTAGTGCCGTTTGAGGTTTGTTGCGAAAATTGCCTTTTTTTCTGCTATGCTCGCATGGTATCTGCCGGATAACATTGCCTCCCCAGCACGAGGCGGTGGCCTGGCGGCCATCGGCACAAGGAGTGGCGGCCTCAGCACCAAGGACGAACGGGTTTTGGGTTCACTGCTTCTGGGACACATGCTGTTAAAAGGTGTGCCTGTCTTGGAAGGTTGCGAGTTACATCGCCAAAAGATTGTGCAAGCCCTCCTCCAGTACAGCCCAAGATAGTGGACTTCTAATGCTGAGCTTGTTTTCTACGTGCTTCCAGGGGCTAGGACCGCTGGATTCGCGTTGTGTTCCTTGTGTTCCCTCGTGCTGCTAGCCGCAAATCTGCTGGATTGCTATCGGCAACTGGTGAGTAATTAAGCCTTCGTGACCTGGCAAAGCATAGGAGCCATTTGCGTACCTCCCCACCCCCCGATCCTGGTTGATCTGTCCAAATGCACGGGCCGTTGTAGGCCATTCAAGGATTTCTCCTGAGAGGGATCTTCATGCTATTGTGAGCATGTCTTCGAGAGTGGAAAGCGCTCAAAGGTCACTCTGTTTTTGGGGCAGGTTTTTGAGACGAGGATCGTTTGACTTGCTAGCCACTAGCCAAGTGGAGATCGTTACATACATCTATACTCCATTTTTGGAGCTTGGCTCCACGCTTGAATGCACCCACCCAAATGTTTTGGTTTACCGTGGCAGGGCACGCGGATTGAAAACAGTACAATCAGACTCCGGAAACTTGAGCTTTAGGAAGGCGAGGAATACTAAAAACATCAGGAGAATGAGGATGCACCTCTATTCTGCAAGTTGCAGCTGCACGTGCGCCAGGGATGTCAGCTTGGAGGTCCTGTCTCTGCAGGAGGAAGTGCAGATCCTGCGAGAGGCGACCCGGTTCTTACCGTACAATAGTATTCCCGATATAGCATCATCTTTTACAGGTTTTTGGTATCTTCTTTTGTTTTGGAGTGCTTTTTCTTGGCTCACCGCTGTTCTGGAAGCATGTTTTTGCGTCTACTTCAACCCAGACAGCCCTCGTAATACAGCCAGCGCAGCCAGCGTCCCGCCCTAACCTTGCAAAGCGAATCTTCGTCGAATTTTAGCACATGACGACTCAACTAGGAAAGAACATTGCCTGTTTTTGTCTTTTGCCTTCTTTTGCGTCGTTTCCATTTCTTTGTTGCTGCGTTCTTAGTGTTTTGCTGGGCCTGTCATGGCCTGTCTTTGTAAAACTGACGGCGATGTTGGAATGGGGACAACACCTTTGCACGAATCATTCATGCCGCTCTTGGACACGGTTTGAGCAGTCAACAGTTTTTTGGAGACCTCACAGTTCGACGCGGACAGCACACCCTAACGCACCGATAGGACAGCGAGATGATGTCAAGCTGCGCCTGCATGCAATTCACTGGGCTGCTGTTACGGAACTTCACTTAAGCTACTATGGCCAGGAAATCTCATTATTTGCTACGTACCGATATTCCGACAACTCAATTCAAGTTCCTTAACAGCAACCCACTTCACAATCTGAGCCTCCTGGTGCAGGAGGCAGATGAAGCTGCTGAGAACATGGAGTATCTGTGCCCTGTTTAGCGGGTTGACAAGGTGAAGTGGGTTGAGGGTTTGGGGCTGGTGGTCCAATCTTTATCTTAAACGATCCTTACTTGATCTTCTCTTAATGGGAAAATGAGTGGCAGGCAGAATCGGTTTGGCAAATCTATACTAATAAACGTGCCGAAGAAGGTGAGGGGCTGCGCCGCCTTGAGTAGGGAATAGGTAATATTGAAATGTATTATATTGGGGTTATGTAGGGATTATATTCCCTTATTCCCTGCAATCTACCAGTAAGTAGCTTGAGCAGCATGGCATGGGCGTCTCTGCAGGGCATTGTTTGTGGGATTATGGTAGTTTGCACAGATCAGGGTATCCCAATATAAGCCTACAACTATTATAGTCCTTTTTCTAGGGACCCCCAAGACGGTTCTCCTCCTATTGGGATACCCCTCCCATGTAGGAATTCAGTGTTTAGGGTTTAGTTTTTGTTTGATCCTGCCGCTGGTTCCGGTAGCCTTCTTCTCAGACTTCACAGCAAAGCTCCTTTCCTCGACTCATGATACCCCAAGAACCCTAGGCGCATTGAGTGGGTACATAGGCCATGCAGGAGTGTGTAAGGATGTACAGTACTTAAGGGTATAGTTTTGTGGAACAGAAATGGAAACTACCACTTAATTTGGGGTTTAGTGTTTAGGGATATGAAGCCCAAATAGCGGAAAATCAAATGGAAAGGAATATGGAACATGAAATCGAAACAGGGGTTATGTAGCGGGTTTGTCGGATTGGGGGGTTTCTCAAAATTAAAGGTACTTTTCCAGGGGTTGCTATAATAAGGATTGTAGGATTTTGGTCCGCATGTAAGAAGATTGCCAAAGGCATGCTGGTTTTCAGACAGCCTAGGTCAAGCAGATTTGCGTGTTTCCGGGTCTGGCGTGTAGGGTAGCTGCAGAGACTGCCAGGCTCGCGCGGATGGCCGCCAAGACGCTGGAGGAATTGCAAGCTTGGAAAATCTTCAGGGAATCAGAGAGACCGTTCAAGATAATTACAAGCAGTCAAAGGCCTAATTGGAACTTGATGCTGCC